TTTTTTTTTTTTTTTTTTTTAAATAAATATTGTAGCGGACATTAGGACCATGCTTCTCACCCGGCCAGCAGGCATACAGTAGGGGGCGTGTTTATGTGAATCTCTACCAAAAATATTCACAAATAAAATATGAAATGTCGGGTTTGCTTCGGACTCGGGCCTGCAAATCAAGCTAAGTGATCGGGCTCGGGCCGGGTCGGGCTTTAATAGCCTCGGGCCCGGTCGGGTCGGGCTCGATTTTTTTAGGACAGATCTTATCTCTAGCTGGTATTCGGGCATGGTTCCAGTGCCCACAAAGAACAGCTCAGTGCGCATCCGCGTGGACCTCACTCGACTCAACGAAACGGTCTGCAGAAAGAGATGCATACTGCCGTTGGTGGAGCAGACTACTGTATTGGCTCTCTGGCTGAAGCAAAGGTCTTCAGCAAATTGGATGACAATAGAGGATTCTGGCAAATACCATCGTCCCCTGAATCGTCACTATACACCACGTTCATAACTCCCTTTGGCTGCCGCTTAAAGCCCTGAGCCATACGAGTCCCTATCAGGCATATAGACAGAGTCAAGTCTTAAAAACTAGTGAGGACGGCGGTGTCCTGTACGTGCTTAAACTCCGCGTGTAAATAGAGTGTGTATGAGAATGGTACCGAGGTTGAATGTAATCGAATAAAATGCGCTTAATGAGTGACTGTGTAACTGTGTGAGTGGAGGTTTGCTACCTCATTCGAACAGGACATTTTGTGTGGCAACTGTCTGAGGAAGCAGATGCAAGAATTTCCCGCCACTTTGGTATACTTTGGTACACTTGGGAGGTAGAAGGTTGGAAATTACCTCAGTCGGAGAAATTGTCACCCTGTTCAAGGGAAAAGTCAGCATAGTTACCCTAGGTAAACCGCTGACTCTCAAATTTGCAAAATGGGGACACTAAATAGTAAGACCACGGATAAAAAGAATCCTAAAATGAAGTTAACATGTACGGACTGGAAATTCGTAGAGAGCCAATGTCCTTCAAAGATAAAACATCTAAATTTCTGGATAAAAAAAATAACATTTCGCTGGCCAGCTGAACCCACAAACATTAGTGCACCTGCAGGATAATATTAGAACTATGTGCGAAAATGACAGAGAGAAAATGGATATGGATGGGTTCGAAGACATTGAGTTTCAGGTTTATCCAATATGGCACTTAGGAATAAAACACCAGAAGGAGACAGGAGACTCAATTCTGGTACCAGGAGGGAACGAGGAGAAGCATTAGGTTTCAGTTCTCGGCATGTCACCACTAACGATCTCCCCGTTCACCTCCTCATTTATTGGGAAATCTACTACATAGGTGTGTCCAACCTAAAAGGTGGGGGCTGTTGAACACACACTGAACTTGTTTGATTATGTGTGTGTATGTGAGTGTAAATTACGTACATGTGTGCAATTGTTACAAAAACATCACGTTGCAGCTGGTGTTGATGGCTCCATTCACTGTCCAACCTTGCTCCTGTTTAGTCTTAACACTTATCTCTTCCCAACCACGTCCTCGGAAAGGTGGTTGCGTCCCTAAACTTCCACACAGTGCAC